CTAGAGGGAAGAAGTGTATATTCATAAGATACTTTAAGCATTCAAAGGGCTATGTCTTTATTGGTGAAAATAATGATGGCTTAGTGACTGAGACTGAATCAAAGGACATAATGTTTTTAGAAACCAAATTCCCTGGTAGGGGAAAGATTTATATCTCAAAAACTCTATGAGACTGATGATCGATCAAATGAGGAACTAATGAATATTCCTTAATTTGCTGATCCGAGTAGGAGAGATGAGCCATTTTCATATGAAAACTCACTAAAACACAAGAAGAGAATCTTGAAACCCTACTTCGGAGAAGAGAGACAAAGCTTTAAGAAGATATTTTTTAGTTAAAGGAGCAGCATTCATCATCAGCCTAAATGGAGATGATAAAGATCCTAGAAGTGTTAAAGAGGCAATAATAGGACTTGTTAAGGAAAATTGGCAAAAGGCCATGCAAGAGGAAATGGATTCTATAAAAGCTAACCAAGGTTGGGAATTAGTTGATTTACCACTAAGCCAAAAGGCAATTGGGAGAAAATGGATTCTCAAATACAAAAGAAAGGTAGATGGATTAATCGATAAAGTAAAAGCTTGATTGGTAGCTAAGGGTTACACATAATGAGAAGGTATGGACTATGAAGACACTTTCTTACCAGTTGTGCATTTTAACTTGATTAGGTTAGCCCTAGCTATGGTAGCAAGCTTAGACTTGGAATTACATCAGATGGATGTAAAAATTGCTTTTCTCAATAGGGAACTAGATGAAGAAATCTTTATAGAACAACTAGAAGGTTTCATATAGAAGGGTAAAGAGCATAAAGTGTGCAGACTCCTTTATTTCATATATAGATTGAAGCAATTATCTAGGCAATAAAACTTAAGGTTTCACAAAGTAGTAACCTCATTCAACTTTGAAATGATCAAAAAAGACTATTGCATGTAAATTATGCAGTTTAAGGGTGAATTTGTCATATTACCTCTAAATGTTGATGACATACTATTAACCAAAACTAGCCTTAAGGAAGTTAAAGCAGAGATATGAAAGATATCCTTGAATTTTTGAAATATAGGTGAAGTAGAGTATATCTTGAGAGTCAAGATAAACAGATCATTCAAGGAAATGCTTGTCTTTGTCACAAAAAGACCTATGTAAGCAAAATCCCTAAATGTTTCAACATGAAAGACTACAAACTCATAGATAACCCTATAGTCAAAGGTTATTAACTAAGTGAGAAAATGCACCCCATTAAGGAACCTTACATTTGACACATGAAAAGAGTCCCATACTCAAGTGCAGTTGGCATTTTGATGCACACTATGTTGTGTACTAGACCAAATATTTGTTATGCGGTTAGACTTGTAAGTCATTTTTCAATCCAACTCAGAAGTCAATTATCGAGAAGTTATAAAAGGAATAATGAGACACTTGAAATGGACTATAGACTATGAGCTATGTTTCTACGGCTACAGTCTACTTTTGGAAAGGTTACACAAACACTGGCTATGTAGAAGATGTAGACATTCAACTTCAAAATTTGCATTCCTATTGAATAGAGCCATTTCCTGGAAAACTAAGAAATAGACATATGTGTCTTTGTCCTCCATAGAATCAAAGTACATAGTATATTTTGCCATGATTTGAGATTATTTCTAAAATGACTGGGAATAAACCATGAAAAAGGGTACAATCCTGATACACTGTGATAGTCAAGGCTAACATAGTTTATGCTAAGGACCTTAAGTATCACAGTAAGACTAAATACATAGACACCAAATATCTCTTGGTTAGAGATATGATTACTAATAAGCAAGTTATTGTTCAATGCATATCTACTCATAAGATGATTCCTATACCAAACCCATAGCCAGTGATCCTCATATAGAACATATAAAGGTTTTGGGTATGCAAGGAGTATGATATACTGAATTCATTGTGCATTTTCTTAGTAAACATAAGTACAATTGTATATAATATACTAGTGTGTCATACAGGTCTAAATGGTTAGTTCTCTCACACGAACAATTACCCTCAAAGCTCAAGAAGAGCAAAGGAAATGAGACATAATATGATCATTACCTATTTAGAGAGAATAATGGAATGGTTGAGAAGAATTATAAAATGAATGTCGCTTTGAACAATGGCATCGAGATGAGATTTGGATCCTAAAATGCAGGTCAAATCATGGATATTCACAATCCATAATACCTGTAGCCAAGTAAAGAATTCTTTGAGAAAGGACATCATCAGTGATTCATAGAATTCTAGTTCAAGTATTGCGTATATCTGAGACTGAAGCTTGAATGATGTTGATAAATCAATATTAACATATACTCTTAAGAGAGAAACATTGTAGCATGCAATTCATACTACATGTACTTAAATTTTAACTGAAATAATAGAAGTGGATGGAAGGATCCCTGTTCCATCACTATGTGAGTCCTAGAAAGGAGAAAAATCCTTTCATAGTACCCTTAGGACTTAGACAATGTTATAAGAGGATGACTTAGTGATAGCTACTTTAGTTTGTACCCTATGGTCATGAATGACTCGTTTTAATGGGCTAAGTACTGGGAAAGCAACTAAGACAAACTTGATTGATATAAAGTCTGAAGGAAGATAAACCCTAAAATACACAATCATGCTTGTGTTTGAGACATATCCCTTACAAGTAGAGAACTTGTAAGTGCATATATTAAGCATATGAAAAAGCAATTTGAGTTAAATAAATAACTCAAAAGGGATTAGATATGTTGTGAGTAATGTGTATGGGTAAATCTAGAGTGCTTGAGACAACTTATAGCTGCAAGGTAGGTATACAACAGGATGTCTTTATGTGTTAATCATATCTTAGGACTTCTAGTGCACAAACGTCCAAATTGAGGATGTCATGCCCATGCGGTCATGGTAGAGCACCAAGTGTGAAGGAAAAGAGAAAAAGTTCATATGATGATAGTCACATCAAGTGCTAGTAGGCGATGTTAGAATTTTGGAATTAATTTTTGCCCATGATGAGCCATAACTCCGGTCATAGACTAGAATATGATATTAATGTGTGATTAATAACTAGAAAAGGAAATGATCCTCTATCTTAATTGCAATTATTCCAATCAGCATATTTCCTCCATAATGAGATGATTAATGCTAATTGGATCTTCCTTTTATACGAATGCTTCCCTTCACTATAAATAGTGATCAGAGGCTAGAGGTAGAGATCATCTTAGAGCGAACAATTCTCTAGTTTACTTTTCCTCTCCCTCTCTTTCTCTTTGGTGTATCTATTGTACACTATAGTATAGAATCTAGTAGTCTAAACTTGTGTGGGTAGTTGAGTAGATTTTGCTATGAGCCAAATCTGGTAAGACTCAGACCCAACTCCTTTATTTCGGTATATTATTTATTTAATATTCCTCCAAAATTTGAGGAAGAAAGGCAAAGAACGTCCACATTCACAATGGAATGAGTCTAATCATGTCTTTAGATAGGAAGAAAAACGTAGTGTGCATGCTCACCATATCGTGGGTACATCATGCAACCTATATAGTTACCTATTTTTCACCCATGCCTATTTAAAATTAGTAATTTAAAATAAATATAAACAAATTACATTGCAATATCCATGATTAATATGTAGAGAGATTTTTGGGTGGGAAGTTATGATGCTTATTTTTAAAAATAAATTTCAAAATTGTGAATAAAAAGTTCATAAGTTATGATAATATTTAAAATGAAAAGATAATTGATAGTGACATAGTAGAGAGATTTGTGAGGGTCGTGGAAGATACTGAGCATGAACCTATTTTTTTTAATTAATTGATCATTAAAATTGAAATTTAAAATTTAAAATAAGAAGTTGGGAATTTACGATAGTCATTTGAAATCAAAATATAGACTTTAGTTTGATAGTTAGGAAGTTACATTTTAAAAAGTGAGAAAAATTTAAAATTTACTATGATTTTATAAGGGCTTCGGAACTTTAAAATGTGAATAATTTATTTAAATTTTTTGAAATGCAAATAAATTTAAATATAAATTATATAAACCTAAAATCCTTAAGTAGAGGGGTAATTTAGAGAGAATGATGAAATAAACAACATTAAACAAATAAACCATGAGGACAAATGATTGTCCGAATGGAATTTTTTTTTTCAAACATGATGTTTTAAAAAATCAAACACATTGGGAGGAATTTATGGTACTAAATAAATGGATACGATGTTCTATTCACTATTAATATTAAATAACGTAGCTATTCATAGTAGGAATCTTATAAACATGTTCGTTTTCACACTCCAAAAAATATTAGAAAATATTTTTCTACAATTATCAACTCTAATATAAATTTAAAAAATAGGATATAATGAAGACACACAAATTGACCTATTATTTTTAAATTAAAATTTTAAAAATTAAATGACCAATTAAAAATGTATATTTTTCAATAAAATTTTTTGTTTAATTTTATTTATTTAAATTTTAAAATGGGATAATGAAGATACTTTTTTTTTTGGAAATAAGGAAGATATATAGAATTTATGTATAATTTTCAAAATATAAGAGATTTAAAAAAAATTCCAATAAAATTTTTTTAAAATAAATGAAAAGGAGAAATAATAAATTATACAAATGTCAGGACAAGAAAAAATTATACCCATCTTGTCCACAATAAAATTTTAAAAATTAAATTTTAAAATTGTATAATAAGATAATTATTAGAAGTTACCATAATAAAAATGGAGATAATGGGAGAGAGAATAAATAAATAAATAAATAAATAAATAATTAATTAATTAATGACAGATAATGGAAAGATAAAATAAAATAAAAGACACTCGAAATAGATACTTGTTATCTATAAACATAAGCTAGTTATTCTTGTATAATATGATATGACATGATAATGATGATGACTACTATTATCATTTGAGGTTGATATCAAGAGAAATAAAGTTCGGGCTTCAATTATGAAATGGTCGTTGGGCTTATAAAATGGGCCAGCGGATCCACCATTATTCTCAACCCCATGCGAGGGTCAGTCTGTACCCGACTATTGTTAATAGACATCGCGCGGCACATTTTGAAGCTTCGAAAGGGCGAGAGGATAGTCAGAGACAGCAGGGGCGAGAGCAAGATGCCGGATTACGGAGAGAGATACGAGGGGAACGGAGAGGAAGTCGATACCTACGACGGTGGCTCCTCTCCTCAGCCGCATGAAAGTAGCCACGGAGGTCCCGACGATCATAGCGACTCCAAATCTCACGTATGGTTTCCCTTTCCATGTTTGTCTCTCTCTCGCATAAGATGTCTATAGTTTTATTGTTCTGTTTGAATCTTCTTGCTTCCTAAATCTTTTAACAGATAAGATGGCATTTTTTATTAGATGCTCTGATTTGAACTTCGGTTAGGGTTTTCGATGGATTACTTGTTTGTTTTTGCACTCTGATGGTCTGCCACTAGGGATTGGGTTGTGGGTGTTGTCCGTTTTCCGAGTTTCATCTTGTTTTTGTTTTTGACGTTTGCAGAGCAAATAAAGACCTTTGTTGTTTGTGGGAATTATACTTTCCAGGCTTTTATTTTCGTCTATGTTTATATACTCTTGATGGGACTCTTTTGTAGCTCGTGGTGATGATATCAAACTAGGGTTATTTTTGGTATGAATCATATTCACTCCCTGTCGTCCGGTGCCACTATACAAGGTATTGGGTCGTCGTAGGTTGTCATGCCTTCTGAGGATGCAACTAATATATGCTTGCAGGGACTTTTTTTTCCTTTGGAGGGCTTTTCTTTTTGTTGGTGTAGTTTTATTTATTTTAGGTGACTGCGTATTTATACTTCCTTGATTTGTACTTTCGTATCCTTGGTTTATTGATGTTGATTGATTCATCAGTGAACTTATAATTACTATCATGTTGTATCCTTTTCTCTTTTCTGTTTCTTTGCTGCTACTGTATCCTTAACGCATTACAGCTCATGTTCCATTTAAAATAAAAGCAGTTCAAGATAGAAGTTATTAACGTGTGAATGAACCTGTATTTTTCCACGTTTCAAATTTAAGCACTTTATGATCGGTGACACTGAGAATTTTATTAGTAAGAATAAATGAGATATTGATTTTACAGGTGTATCTGTTTTTGCCCCTTATTGATTTCGAATATTTTATTAGAATCTGTGCGGGAATATCTGAGTATAGGATGATTGAATGTGCTGGATAAGGTTCCACTACTGGTAGTGGGCCAGTTGCTGATGTCTTGTGATGACGCCATGCAAAATTTCTTTAATATTGGAAGATATTGTGCAAAACATTCTTCAAACGCTTTCTATTTATAGCATTTAATAATTTAACGGTCGTATTTGAATGTTCTTAGTGTAGTTGGTTCAGTGGTGTTGAAAGCCATCCAATTCTCTGGTCATATTCGTATGTTTGATCACTTTCTGTGCTGGTGACCCTGTATTCATGGCATTGTTTGGCAGCATGGATCACGGGATTATGATAGAGAATCTTCCAGAAGTAGAGACAAGGAACGTGAGAAGGGGCGGGATAAGGAAAGGAAAAGGGAGAAGGACAGGGATGGGGAGAGAAGCAAGGACAGGGATAAAGATAGAGAGAGAAGTAAAGACCGGGAAAGAGATCGGGATGGGGAGAAGGAAAGAGATCGTGATAGGGACAAGGACAAGGACAGGGATCGCCATCATCGAGATCGACACCGTGATCGTAGTGAGAGGAAAGAAAGGGGCAGGGATAGAGATGATGATGATTACTACAGAACCCGAGACTATGACAGGTGAACAAGTTTGTTTGATTCTAGATGTTGATGCATCTATGTGGTTGTGACTTTTGTTTTATTGGCATTAGTTTCATGGCTTAGATTTACTGGTTCAATGCACAATCTGTTCTCTAATATGAATTTAAAATCTTATTTATCAAAAATGAGCATTGCTATTTTCAATTTCTTTTTTCAAACTAATCTTTGATTGTTTGACAATACAGACGAAGGGATTATGATAGAGAGGACAGACATAGGCGTAGGTCTCGATCCGCTTCTCCTTCACGTTCAAGGGGTAGGTCTGAGCATAGATCAAGATCACGTTCTCGTTCACGCTCAAAGAGGTATGTCACAGAGAGATAATTAACATTAACATTCAGTTTATTGCATGTGCTTGCATGCATTTACAAGGATGTATGAGCTAGCAATTCAGCGTTAAGAATTGCATCTGCTGTGGCATTTATAATCTGAATACTAACTCTATTTACTTACAGCAAAAGGATTAGTGGTTTTGATATGGCTCCTCCTGCTTCAGCAATGTTAGCTGGCGGTGCTGCTGTTACAGGTAGATTTACTCATGTAAATTCAAAGAATGTTTCTTATCTTAACTGCGTTGTTTCTTTGTTGGTTTTAGTATGGAAAGTTCATATCAAATTGCATGGTGTTATCTTGGTAAGCTATATTCTGTTTTAATCTGAGTGTATAGCTCTTCAAAGCCTGGTTTTCAATGGCGTGTAATTTTGTCATCTTTTCTTCTTTTTAATTGGCCATATAATTCTGGAACTAAAAGATGCTTTGGTTTTTTGTCTTGTGTTTGGTGTTTGTTTGTTTTGTTTCTATGTCTTGTCTTATGTTCTAAGAAGGCAATGTTGGGCTACTAGCCCCACTGTGCTGACAATGGGCGTGAGCCGACATCTGTAGCTTTTATATCCATGGAGGAATCAATGCACCGGTTTTTGGTGGGTCTTGTTCGTCTTCAACTGGAAACTATTGCCTACTTTGGTAGTCTTATAAGTTATCTCTAGAGTTTGTTTCCAATGTTCCTTTAATATCTGTTGATATATTATGGAATGAAGTTAAGATATGATTATGCTCTGGCAAACTGAAGCAGTAGGAGTCTTTTGGGCTTATGAAAGAGAAATTGAGGTTAATTATTGAATTTGGGCTGACATAAATTTGTGTCTCTTTGCAGGTCAGATCCCTGGGGCGACTCCTGCAATTCCTGGAATGTTTCAAATATGTTTCCAATTGCTACCAATCAGGTATCTGTCTTAATTACCTCCCACATATGGTGTGTTTTCAGTGTTAGAGGTGTATCTAATTTCACTATATTGGTTTTTTCTGCCTCAAGTTGCAGCCATTCAGTGCCCTCCCTGTCATGCCAGTCCAGGCTATGACCCAGCAGGTAGGCAGTAAAAGGTTTCTTTCCCGCCTTTAGTTCTCATTCCAATATTGGCCTTATTTGATGTTTGAACTGAATGTGCAGGCTACTCGACATGCTAGGCGGGTTTATGTTGGAGGGCTCCCTCCTACAGCCAATGAGCAGGTATTGGATATTGAAAATTAACAAGTCAAGGAATAATCTTTAAACTAATTTACTATTGGTCCTGAATCTTTGCATTCCCTTGTGTATGGTCTTTGGATATTTGTTATTGTTGCACGAAAGTAGTGGCTTTTACTGAATCTTCCTGAGGAAGCTAGTTTATATATATATATATATAAATATCACATTCTATTTATTTGTTTGCATGCTTTCCTTTCATGGCTTTGATAAATATGGCATTTTATTTTCAGTTATTCTTTTTTTTTTAAATATATTCAGCATATGCCTGAATTTTCATCTTGTTCCAATATTTTGATGAGATTGGAATTGAGATTTTGGTAATTACTCATGTCTTCTAAAAACATTCTTTTAATTTTTTTTATTGATGCTTTTTTTTGTGGTAATGTACCTTTTACTTTGTTCTTTCTTCTGAAGCTTATAATTTGTTACCTCGGTAGTCAATTTATTTTGTCTGATGACACCATGCTGTTATGGACATCATCGTAGCTAAATTGTGAATGAGTCCCAAATGTTTTATTTGTGCTGGCCTTGTTGGTGGTGACAGCTTTTGCTTTAATCTGCTAATCATCATGATATCTGTTATGCTGCAGTCTGTTGCAACTTTCTTCAGTCAGGTCATGGCGAAGATTGGAGGAAATACTGCTGGTCCAGGTATGAAAAATGTATAAAGACATAGTCCAGTCTATTTGTGATGCATTGCATATCTTTTGCAATTAATCAGTTTTATTATCTTTTCAACTTATTCCTTTGTCTTGTGCATGCAGGCGATGCTGTTGTTAATGTTTATATTAACCATGACAAGAAGTTTGCTTTTGTTGAAATGAGATCTGTTGAGGAAGCCAGCAATGCAATGGCTCTTGATGGGATTATTTTTGAGGTACTTGATATTTTATCATGTCACCCAAAGCTGTGGGATTTTTTCTTTCATGAGTGCATCAATGAGTTAAGCCATGCATGTAACTGATTATGTCTATGAATGAGAACATTAAAATCATTTTGTTATTTCCCCCATTTTTCTATTGCAGGGGGCACCTGTCAAAGTTAGGAGGCCTACTGATTATAACCCTTCTCTAGCTGCAACCCTTGGTCCTAGTCAGCCTAATCCTAACCTGAATCTGGGTGCTGTTGGCCTAACACCTGGCTCAGCTGGTGGACTTGATGGTCCTGATCGTATATTTGTTGGTGGGCTTCCTTATTACTTTACAGAAACCCAGATCCGGGAGCTTTTAGAGACTTTTGGTCCCCTTCGAGGCTTTGATTTGGTGAAAGATAGGGAAACAGGAAACTCAAAGGGTTATGCATTCTGTGTTTATCAAGATCTTGCAGTTACAGATATTGCATGTGCAGCTCTGAATGGAATAAAAATGGGAGATAAGACTCTTACAGTTAGACGAGCTAATCAAGGTGCAAACCAGCCGAAACCAGAGCAAGAAAGCATATTAATGCATGCACAGCAGCAAATTGCCATACAGGTTTGATGATATTGACTGCTAAAAAGGATTCATGATCAAATATCTTACTGATTTTGTTATTTGCATTCTTATTTGAGTTTATTAAATTGCATTCTAATTTAAGTTTATTAAATTCATTAGAAACTCATGCTTCAGCCAGCATTAGTGGCAACCAAGGTTGTTTGTTTAAGTCAGGCTATATCTGCTGACGAGCTCAAAGACGATGAGGACTATGAGGAGATTGTTGATGATATGAGAACAGAGTGCTCTAAATTTGGTAATGACTGACTGAGTTTGCTCTACCCTTTCTGTAACCTGCTATGCATTTATATTAATAATTTTGTTTTGTTATTTATTATTATTATTATTATTTTACAGCTATTTGTATTCACAGATTATCAGGCCTAACATAAAGACAGAAGCCTCCATAACCTTCCATCTATGTTCAATTTACTTGGTTCCACTGAATATTTTTAGTATTACTTCTCTTTGTAATTTATCACTTTTTAAATCATCTGCTGCAGGTACCTTGGTTAATGTTGTGATACCTCGCCCCCCACCAAATGGGGAACCAGCAACTGGAGTTGGAAAGGTATATATGATCTTTTATGATGGATTTGTTCTACATTCCGTACACCATCGCCTACTTCTTGATTCTCTTTCCAAGTTTCTTTTCCAATTTCTTGTCAAATACAGGTTGAAGTGGATTTTTTTCTTTTTGGTTGGGATAAATAATAGCAGTCTTAGTGCTGATTATTGCTAGCATTTAAAATTTCCTTGGTATTTATCTTGTATGATGTTTGGATGAATTAATAAATAAACATTATGCAAGTATTAAGCATGCATGTGAGTGCTACCTGCTGACTTCTAGAAACCTGCTTTATGGTGCATAAACAGCAGAAAAACAAATAGAACACCTCAATGGAAAATCTTGTCTGTAGATGGATTGGTTCAAACATTACTACAAGTTTTTTTAACATAAAACCAAGCACTAAAACGTGTTCTTTGCTGATTGGCGAAGTAAAAACCCAGGACGAGAAAGATATTTGTTTTGTATTTATTTTGTCTAAATTATTAACGCTGACTATGAACTATGGGTAGGTGTTTTTGGAGTATGCTGATGTCGATGGTGCAACTAAAGCACGAGCTGGCTTGAATGGACGAAAATTTGGAGGTAATCAAGTAGTGGCTGTCTTCTACCCCGAGAATAAATTTGCTCAGGGAGATTATGAGGGCTAGTTTTTTTTTATTGTCATGTGGATTGAATCTTTGCATTTTTGTCAAGGATTTTAGTGTATAATTTGTAAGCTCAGTTGTGCAGTCGAATACACAGGATAATCTTTATTATGTGGGACCGTTAGCGAAGTAATGTTGGATGACTCCTTAGATTATTTTCCGTTGTCACTTGGATCCATCAATTGCCAGTTGAGTGTGATTTGCCCCCGTTCTCAACCCACTGATTGGGTTTTATTATCAACGTACGCTATAATTGGGAATAATGGAATCCTTTGTTTTAACTACTTTTTTCAGTCTTGTTATAAAGCACATTGAATTATCTCATTTTATATTGTAGTTAAATAATTAATTTTCTCTGAAACTAGAATAAAGTGAACTTCAGCAATTATTTAACAATTTTGTCTGCATGATTTAGCAACTTGGATTTAAAGTCATTCTAACTGGTTGGAGCTTCTAATCTCTTTCAAGCAGTCTGTGGAATGAGAGTTGTTCCAGTTGTTAGTAAATCGTAAGCAAATACTCAGTATCTGAAGGAAAAGAATGACTAACATGTTAGCATTGGTTGTTGGCGTCTAGGGCAAAAGATCACCGAGAAAGTTTATCCATTCTTCAAGGTGTTTAGGTTTTGGATTCTGAACAAATTTTTCATTTGGGTACATAAAAAGTTTTTGGATTAAGATATATATCATGAATATGTGGGTAAATTACTTTTTAAACTTTAGATTAAATAGTATGATAAACTTTGAATTTGTTCATTGTGTAAATTATTTTTTTAATTTAAAAATGACACAATATGATTGATATTAATAAACAATTAATTTTGATCGTGATAAAAAAATAATAAAAAAAACTTTAAAAATTACATAGGAAAGTTAAGTAATTTGTTTGGGTCATTTATACTTTTTTTATTTTTATATATAAGGTGTTTTTAATTGAATCACGTAGCAATAAAGGTTTGTTATTTAGTTGAATTTATAAATTTTTTTTTAATTTTACCTCTAATAATATTATGATGATGACAGGAAAGACATACAATTAATGTTTTATTCTATTTTTCAAAATAAGAGTAAAATTGTCTAATTATTTAAAAATATAATTGTCCCTCTATTTAGGGACAAAATAAGTTTTTTAAAAATACTTTATATTTAGGGATGGAGGGAGTAATTGTTAAGACCTTTCATAATAATTTTTTAATTATTTTCTATAATTTGAGGTTTTTTTCCTATCATTTTTTTATCAATTAATGATTAAAATTAATTTTTGTTAATGACAAAGGCCAAATTACACTGTTTTTAAAAGTTAAAAACAATTTGTACCATAAATGAGTTTAGGGTTTATGATACTATTTAATCTAAAGTTTATTGGGTAATTTGCTTATTCATCCATGCAACTTTTTTATAATTTCAAATTCCCTCTAAACCCTAATTATTTGTACATCCACCCAATACTCTCTCTCTCTCTCTCTCTCTATATATATATATATATATATATATGTATATGTATTTTTTTCACTATCAGTGCCTCCATTAGTCCATAACCTTTTTCATTCTCATTCTCATCTCTCACTGATTAAAAATAAATAAATAAAAGTTTGTCACTTTCAATCTTTTATTCATGTTTCAAATGTTAGTTCATCTCTCTTGTATTTTTAAAATTTTTTACATTATTCAAATAAATGATTTTAAAAATATAGATTTTAAATGTAATATTTAAAATCTAAGATTTTAAATTTTAAATCAAAATTCAAATCCATCAGATGCATCCTAGTATTTTTTGGTTAAAATTCTTAGTCTAAATGAGATATAATAGTATTTATTTCTTTGCAAATTGGAGAGTCAAAGAGTTGTTCATAAATTTTCTTGCGTACGCTGTATTTTTCAGATTGGAGGATGGTGTTTTCGGCCACATTTGATTGCTTTTGTTTTTTGTTTTGTTTTTTTTTTTTTTTTGGGAGGGGGTGGCCAAAGATAATGCATGAAGTCTAGAAGTTCTTGAGGGATATTTTTCGATTCTTCAAACTTAATTTCATCACGTAAAAATTTGAGGATTTTATTTTAAGTATTTATTAATTCTTATCCATAGCAATAAATTCCAAGATAATCTTATGTCATTTTCTGACTTACTGACTGTAAAACCCTATCCTTGCACTTAGCATGACATGTACTACGACAGCATAAAAAAAAAATTAAAAACAAATATAATATAGCAGAAATGACCATCGTAGAAAATCCAAAACTTTACATATACAATATAAACAATTATCCACCTGCTATGTTAGAAAAAGAATAGATTCCTACCATAATAGAAAACTAGATTCTAAAAACAAAATGAAAAAATAGAGATATGATTGAAGGCATTGCAATAAGGCTTCTATCAATTACCTCCACAATTACAAACTTACAATGTAGCTTTTGAAAAATTCTCTGTAAATAACAAGTTTCAAGCATTTGAGAAAAAAATGCACAGTTTAGTTTTAATCCATTTAGCAATAATGAAAACTGATTTGAAAATAGTGAATGATAGATTGCTAAAAGAATTCAATAAGAACTCTTATCCTAATTTGAGTGTATCATAAAGTATAGGATAAGATAGGAATGATATCACTAATTTAACACATGTCCTTATGAGATTGCTTGATTTGGTGTGTGGATATTGATCTTTTTATCTTTGCATATGTGACATCAAAATTCAAATTCAAATTGTTCAGCTTTCTTAAGATTCTCTTATCACATTCTTCATGTATTACATTCTTTGCGGTGAAGCTTTTCTATTATCTTCTTACAGAACAATGTAAGCCTTTTCTCTTTCATGAATACAAAATAATCTGAATACAAAATAATCTTTTTTCTTCTAAAACAACAATCAAGATGTCCAAAGTCATATACTGTAACCTCCTTGAGGTTAAATCACACTTAACTCCAAATTCTAGTAATCCAGGGCTTAACTCATAAGAATTACCAAACTATAAGGTTGCTAAATGAATTTCTCAAAATCTATTTCAAGGAACCAATTTTCAACTGTTCAATTCTCAAACATGTTTTAAGGACTCCAAATTAGAGTTTTGAAAACAAAGCGGAAGCTTGAAAATCAATTGGGAACCAAATAATGAGTTTTAAAATCAAAATATATTTTTACACTAATTTTGACATGTGTATTGTGGCTTACGGTTCATGTATCGAGGGTGTTCTCCTTTGTGCCATGCGCCGTGGTGCATTGTACGAAATTTGATAGATCAGTGCTGTTATTTTATAGCACAGGGAGTGAACTTCCGACGCATCCCAAATCTTTGTTTGACACCTGATTGAGGTGGTTTTGGTATCCACACGGAGCTTTCTCCTAACTCTAGCTAATGGCACCAGTTTCACACTCAAATTCATTTTCTATCAAAATTTGGACACTAAAACCCATTTTGACGCATTTTCACAAAATTTCCCAAATGGGGTGTCCTAACTCAACCACACGTGCCAATAGCCTATACCAACCCTCTGACCATACTCAATAGACTCTTGTGGACTCGTGCAACACACCACACATAACCAAAAACACTTCTTTCACAAAATCACCACTCAACCCCAATTTTCACAAAACATAGAGGGGGAGGAAAAGTTGCACCAAATCAACCATTTCATTCATATTTCTCCAAAATACATATGTTCCTACTTGCACAAGTATTTTGGCCCTATCCATAGGTTCACAACAAAAACTCACTATCTCAGAGCACAAAATACACTAGTTAAACACAAAATCATGTAAGTAGTAAACCAATCATGACAATTTATCCTAGTTGACAATTACATTGACAATTACACATGTAATCAACTAAAGAGAGACATAAAGAGGATTTACTCCACAAATCCTAAGTCTCTATGTTTTCCCTAACTTGGATCCGATGAGCTAGTCCCTGAAAATATTGAGAATTAAGGGGTGAGTACAACCACTCAATACCAAGTTTCACTTAACCCTTACCGTTACATATTACTTGTAAATAGATGCAAAAAGGCACATAATACATATATTACATAGTATTGGGCCACGATTCACAAAACTAACAACCATGTGACCGGGCTTACCACAAAACATTATATCATATTGTTTTCAAAAACATAACTCAAGGTTATAAAAATAACAACCATGTACCCTTAACACGTGCCGGACCACAATACTAACAATCATGTGGCCAGACTTTTATGCATGGTCGTGTGCCAACCTTGTTACCTTCGACACGAAATCGATGGCTATCATGTGGCTACGTCCTTCACAGACTAACCTAACCTTCTATTTGTGAGGAGCTACAAGGCCAGGGTTAACTCTCTCATTATGTAATTCGGTTTTCCTTTATACTAACAACCATAGGGTGTCGTACACATAATCTAGCCTCTTCATAAACTGGTGGAGACTAATTAGGTTTGAATCCCTAGTAGAACAAGTGGGATAGTCCCAATCAAACATGGGACAAGGACTACCTCTCGATTCCAACAATCACTGCCAATACCAAGTAGATTTTCAATCAAACTACTCCCCTCTCTAGGTAAACTCCCACCAATGATCATGCCATGCACATTTCATACATTTTATGCATTTCAACATTCATTACTCAACACATGACTAACATAACACGTATACTTCACATTTTAACACATAATTCATCAAAATTCTCTACCCACAGTAATAAATCACAATTAATTTCATAAAACATCAAGGGTGGTAGAATCAAGGTTTTCTTTTCAAAACCATTCATACTCAAACATTTTCTAATATGCATCATCAAATTAACTCACAAATCACATTTTTCAACACAATTAACATTTAACTATAAAAATTAAGTTTCCCCCGGTTACCTCAAACCTTTGAGAGGTCAAAGGTTTACCCTTCACTATATCAACTTTCCCAAGCTTTAACAAGTTCGAAAGATGCTATGATGAACCTCTCTACAACCAAATCATAAGGATATCATCATCATCTAGCTCTTCAAGCTCTATCAATATAAAAATTCCTCATACACTATTTTACCAATTTATAACCACTACCCATTCATACCCAATGGCTCATTAGATTCCATTAATGCACATTATCATTAATAACATTTCAAACCATCATTAATGCACATTAACATCTCCCAACTACCTCACAAATATCAATTTTTGGATATTAAATG